CYYCCCMWSRCCTCTGTGCCCGTGGATGTGGCACTGGCTCTAAACAGGTCCCTGATTCAGTGACCCCATTACCTGACCCCGGGCACACGGGGGGACAGAGCCTCCCCACAGCTGCTGTGCCCAAAAATGTGGTAGTGGCTCTAAACAAACCCCTGTTCAGTGACCCCATTACCTGACCCTGGGCACAGGGGGTGGGACAGAGCCTCCCCATGGCCGCTGTGCCCATGATGTGGCAGTGGCTCACCAGGCAGGCACCAGAGCATGGCTGGAGGGGAGAAGATTCCTCCCAGGAGCCCCTGAACTCCAAAAAACAAAAATAAACCAGAGCTGGGACCCTCCGGAGGTGACACCACAGAGCAGCTCAGACCCAGCTCCMTGCTCAGGGRWTTTCTGCYTCCTGCTCCACCCAAACCCTCCCYGCCCCATCTGGACCCCCCAACCCTGGCACAGGCAGTGCCTGGCACAGAAATGGGGCTCAAATCTCGKTCCAGGCTCTGGAGAGCCCCAGCCCTGCTGTCCCTRTCCCTCCTGTAGTATCTGCCGTGGCTACGAGGTGGCGGCAGAGGCCACATCCCAGCCCCTCATCCCGGGGATTTAAAAGCAAAACCCATTCCCGTGGCTCCATCCCATCCCCCTGCCCCCCTGCTCTGCATTGCAGCGTGAGGGACCCCCTCCCCTCCTGCCAGGAGCACACAAGGGTGGCAGAACATCCCACAGAGGYACATTCCACACTCCTGAGAGAGCAGAACACAGCACAGCAGCGCATCACGGAGGAAAAATGAGATTTTTCCAGATAACCAGGTTAGGAAGCTTTTCAGGGTTTTTTAATGCCAGCCTGTGGAGCATAAAGAYACTCTACCTTGGTCGTGGCATCACCAGGAAATCCTGGAATATCTTGAGCTGGAAGAGATCCTCAGGAATCATCAGGATAATCTCACCCTGGGCATCCTGCAGCTCTGGCAGCCTCGGGRCCGGGACCATTCCCTGGGGAGCCTGGGCAGTGCCAGCACCCTCTGGGGACAGAAGAACCTTTCCCTGAGATCCATCCCAAACCTCCCCCAGCTCAGTTTCCCTAAATCCCTAAATCAGTTTATTCAGTTTTCCTAAATCCTGTCACAGGTCTTCCAAAAAGCCTGACAGGCCCACAGTTGTAGGGCCACAGAAGAACTGGGAAGAGGGAAATAAAGAACCCCCACCTTGCATCCCCTCACTGCTCACACCCCCAGGTTACTCTGTGCAGCATCTCCAAGGAGTTCCAGGCGATATTTTGGCGCATTCCGTGGGATTCCAGGACTGCAGGGATGGCCTGTGGGGGAAACTTTAAACCCTCACACATTTCACAGCAGTCAGGGCTCCCAAAGCCACACTCAGTGTGCTTTTTTCTACTCACACCCAGCACAGCTGGGTGAAATAACCCCKCCCAGCGATTCTCTGCTTCAAGGTTTTATTGAGGAAAGATTCATCTGCTCCAAGAGTGCCGAACAGGCCTGCAAGTGCTGAAAAACGTGGAAAAAGTACTGAAAAACATGAAAAACACAGAGCTCAGCTCTTCAGAGACTTATTTAACGTAATGTCAGCTCAAGCTTTGTTAATTCCAGCGACAAGGAGACGTTTTCCCTTCTGCTCATCACCCCAAACACCGAGGGGTGTCTGCAGACCCCAAGCACTGCCCCCTCCTCAACATTTAACCAGTTTGTGCCCCCAGGACAGCCCCAGAAACAGTGCTGAGCTGCAGGAGCACCACAAACCTTCCCAGCTCACAGCCAGCACTCCTGGAGGCACCCTGCACCCACAGAACACTGAAATTCCAGGTATTTAAGTTGCATATTTGATATCCAAAGCAGCCATAGTTGAGCTGCTCATGTTCCACTTATGACTCCCAAACCAGCTCACGCCCTGAATATTCACAAAACACAGGCAGAGAAGGGAGGCACTGATCCTCATTACCACACCTGCTAATTACTCACTAAAATCAGATTTTTTCCAGGATTGCTGAATTATTCCAAGCCCTGGCAGAGCACATCTGTGAGTTCCAGTCAAGCAAAGAACGAGCAAAGGCTTTCCACACCTGCAACTTTAATGGTTGGGGCAGTTCCAGAGCCACCTCTTGAAGAGTGCAAGTCTTTTAAACAGCTTAAAACCAGCAATAAAAAGTAAAATATAAATTTTTATTTAGAATTAAAGCAAATACTTCAGTATCACAAACACAATATTAAACTTCAAGAAATATACTGCTAAATTTGGAGGGAGCATTTATTTTTGCACAACCACGACATGCGCACAAAAAAATCCAGAGAAAGATGTGGAGTCTGAAATTTTCAACATCTCACCACCAAAGCAGCTGGGTCACACAAGGTTTCGTACAGGAGTTAAGATAAGACTGGAATAAGATGTTGACAAAATTTCTACAGATTCATCTTTTATAGACAACAAGAAAGCTCTAAAGAGGCAAACATTGCAATCTAGTCTTCTTCTGCTGAGTCTCTCTCAAACGTGTAGGCCATGAAGCAAGCGTCTGGTCTCTTGGGGACAAGGGGATGCCCTGGTCTCACAATCTCAAAGCCCAAAAAGCTGAAAGTGCGGAGCAATGCAGCTAGAAAAGAAAGGAGACAGTTTCACCCACGGGATACTGCAAAAAGAAGTTAAAATTCCCACCAGAAGGTGTTTTGGGTCTCTGGAAATGAGGRGAACACCCACCTCTGTCATCTCTGTTCTTGTGGAAACAGATGAACACGTGCTCGACTCGGAGCTGTTCTTCAGCAAACTCAAGAAGAACAGCAAAACTGCAAGAGAAAATATGAGGGGTTCAGTGCTTGTGGAATCAGGGAATGGCCTGGGATKGGAGGGACCCACAGGGATCATCCAGGCMAGCTCCTGGCCCTGCACAGGCACCCCAACRATCCCACCCYGAGCCTGTCCAAATGCTCTGGCAGCCAAGGCAGAGAGAGCTAGCAAGGGGCCCCAAGAGCCACTCCACACAGGAATTCCTAAGGAAGAGGCACAGATTGCAGCCTCACACCACCAGGAGATCCCTGAGCCCTAGGCAGAGCYTCTCAGTGGCACAGAAAATGTTTGTGTGGCAGTCTCAGAACCAGATTGGCATTCTCAGCATCTTAAACCAGCCTGAAACCTCAGACTTTCACATGGTTCTGCCTGCAGCCCTCAAACCAGGCTCACAAKAGAGCCTCGAGCACCAAAACCTTCAAATTTCAGAATGTAAGGAGCAAAATGTTCACCCAAACTGCTTTTTCCCTCACCCACCTGTCCTTGCTCCCCTCAGGCAGAGCACCACTGGGAATTTCGATGTAGAGGTTGTTGTTGTTCAGCACTGCTCTCCAACTGATGTGTTTGGCATCTGTAAGCCTTGACTGGACATTGAGAATTCTTGTCCTGTTGTTAGGTGTTAGTTCTTCTGTGACATTCAGCCGATTATCCTGCACCAGGGAGAGGGGCAGAGTTATTTTTCCACTGATTTTTCAGAGGAGGGATTGAGTCAGGGAATGTTTTCAAGCTCACCATGAGCTGTTTGTTCCTCATACTCACCGAATAAAATAAATTAGCTGAAAGATTGTGATCCCTCTGACTATTCCCTCGCCCACCTGGGATCTTCAGGGGTGGGTGAGGGACATCAGGAGCACCACCGAGGCCCCGGACCCAGGTTACTACAGCAATTGAAGGGAACCCTGGAACTGCAAAGGGAGCACAGTTAGACAGGCAGGAAAGCTCAGATAAACCCCTGGGACTTCCAGGATTTAAACAGTGATCAGATGGAAAGATGTAAATTTAAAAAAAAATGTAAAGAAGAAAAAAAACAACCTAGGCCAAGGGACTCCTCCCACTGYAAGTGGGAAGACAAAGGAACCTCCACACCAGGAGCAAGGACAGGGACAGTGCCCAGGGAGCTGCCACTGCTGTATTTCGAGGGCAAGACTCACTTGGAGATGAAAAATTCTCTTTCAGTGAGCCAGGTGTGTTTTTATACCAGGGCAGGCCTGATCCCAAGAGAAGAACCTTCCTGAAGGAATGTGSTGTTTTCTGCCCTCCTTGTTCTCAGGTAACACAAACCCCCAGCCCAAAAGGCAGGGATCACTTTTCCTCAGGATATTCACCCTTCAGACCTTCCCAGCTCCAGGCCAGGCAATTCCAGGGAATCATCTCCACCCCCAATATTTTGATCTTGAGCTGAGGCCACACCTGAATCTCTGCAAACCTCCAGAAACACCTCCAAAAACACCTCCAAACCTCTTCCCACCAAACCCCTCAGAGCGACTACGCAACATTAGGCTCTCGAGGAGAAAAAAATATCACATTTCGAAGAGACGAGGAAACATTTTTTAAGTTTCTCCCCATCCTTTTCAAGGCTTGTTTCACTCCTCCCGTGGCAGAGCAGGGCTGGCCCCTCCCTCTGCACCATCCTTCACCCGCAGGCTCCACTCTTGAGTTGCGTCATCTCAGCAGATGCAGCAATCGAGGCCCTTGGGGGAATTTTCACAATCGTCCTGTCTCCGGGTGCCAGCAGCAGCCACTGCAGCCATTTGCAAATCCGAATAAACAGCTACAAAATAATCCACCATTTTGCACGCTTCGCACCCGAYTCGCAGGGTTTGGATTGGTCTTTTTTTTTTTTTTTTAAATGAGCTTAAAACTTGTGATAAATAATCCGCATTAGAAAGGCTGGGAATGGGCAGAGAGGTTAAATATTATGCGCTGGAAGGTAAATTCTATTTATATTTTTATGTAACTGCTAAGTTCTCTTAAAAACATAAAATCTGCACTATTTTAATTAAATGTGTAATTTCAATTAAAAGAGTTTCCAATCCAYTATTTTAAGCTCTTTAAAGGAGATGTTTTTCTTTAGCAGCAGCATTATTTTTATCTGAGAATGACTGTGAACTATACGTTCCTCGTTTCCCTTACAGATAAACCTTTAAAACCCCTTTTCCAGGGTTGTGCTGTGGCARTACTTAGCAATTTCACCTTTCTCCCTAAATAAAGGAGATGCAGAAAGAAGGTTCCCAACTAAAAATATGTTTTAGTTTCGTTTACGTGCACCTGGGGGAAAAAAAACCGCATCTTTAACCCACAGTTTAATATAAAAAAGCTTAAAAAACTCCTTCCACAGTTCACACACGAGGCGTAAAGGGCAGATCGATGTCCTGAGCATCCACCACTCCACACCAGCCACCTTAATTCAGTTATTTTCTTTCTTCCCAGYACCTTGTGGGGGTTGTTTAATCTTTCGGCTGAGTTTTTAACCAACAGCTCTCGTAACTCTTACCCTCGATTAGTTTTGCGGAGTATCCACGGTTACATAAGGGGATAACAGCCTTCAATCCTTCGATATCTTTCCCTAATTGTTGTTTTCCCCTCAGCCTCCCCACCCCCACCCCCGCAGCCCGGCTCCTGCCCCGGGCACTCCCAGCCCTGCCCGGAGCCTCTCCCAGCCCAGCGGTGCCCTTTGGGGCCCTCCTAGGTCAGGGCCCTCAAAATCCCCCTTTTTTGGTGTTTTTTTCCACCCTGCCCTAYCRCCTTYCCCCGTGCGGCAGGGCCAGGCCGCCCCTCCCCCGCTGGCCACGCAGCCTCCCCCACCCCTCTCCGGCCACCAGGGAGGCAACAACGAGGATGAGGAGGAAGAGGAGGAAGAGGAAGGAGGCAGCGAGCGCCCGGCGGTGCGAGGCTGAGGGAGGCCGCGGCGCCTCACCTGCTCTGTCCGGTACTGAGGCTCAGCACAGCGGGCATGATGGTACTTTTATTCCCCTCTTTCTCTCTAGCGAAGCAGTGGCTGTTGAGTATCCGTTGCAGGGAGGATTTCACCATCCGGCCGCTCTGGTCCGAACCCCGAAACCCTCCGCCGCCTCCGCCCCCGCTCCCCAGGCGCTGCTACACAAAATGGCTCCGCCGCTGCAGTGGCTCCTTATATACCCTCTGTAGCCACGCCTTCCGACTAGACCACGCCTCCCAGCGCGCGCCGCGCCCCCTCCTCGGGGAGGCTGTTTCTATTGGGCATTTTGGGTGTCAGTTAGATTACTTTCGCTTTTTATTGGCTGAGCGGRGCGCGGGAGGCGGGACAACGGGCTGAGGGTTCTGCACGGGAGGCGGTGGGTAGCGGCGCGTGATTGGCTGCGCGCGCGGCGGGTGGGCGGGGCCTGGCGGGGCACTGGCCGGCGGGCGCCCCGCAACCCCTCACTGCCCTCGGAGCCGCCGGTTCGAGTCCCGCGCCCGCGCCCCGCCCGGCTGAGGTAACCGGGGGGGCCGGGGGAGGAGCGGGGTGTGAGGGAGCRCAGGGAGGGAGAGGCGTGAAGAGTCATGGAAAGACATGGAAAAAACACGGACAGACCCGTAGGGTGCAGCCCCGGGGCTGGGAACAGCGGAGGGGCGGCAGCGGGACCCCCTGTGGGACCCTCTGTGGGACCCCCGCGAGCATCGCCGCCCTCAGAGCCTCGCACAAAGCTCGGTGCTGAGGGAAACTTTTAATTAAAAACTAATAATAAACCTCCCACAACTATTGGGGAGGGTCCCTGAAAACGTCGGGCTGAGGTTGGAACCTGGTATTGTGGCGAGTGTTTGGGCTGGTTACCTTTGGCCTGGCTGTAGTTTACGGATTTATAAGAGAATAGGGGTGGGGAATAGTTGGTTTATCGATTTATAAGAGAATAGGGGTGGGGAATTGTTAGGTCAAGTATTTATAAGGGAACGCGGATGGGTAACAGTTAGTTTATGGGTTTATAGTGGAAAAGGGATAAGGAATGGATGGTTTATGGATTGTTAGGGGAATAGAGATGAGGAAAGGTTGGTTCRTGGGTTTATAGTGAAATAGGGATGAGGAAAGGGTGGGTCATGGATTTATAGGGGAATAGGGATGGGGAATGGTTGATTTATAGGGAAATAGGGAGGGGGAATGGCTGGTTCATGGATTTATAGGAAAATAGGGATGGAGAATGGTTGGTTTATGGATTTATAGGAGAATAAGGATGGGGAACAGTTGGTTTATGGATTAATAGGGGAATAGGGATGGGGAATGGTTGATTTATAGTGGAATAGGGATGGGGAATGGTTGATTTATAGTGGAATAGGGATGGGGAATGGCTAGTTCATGGATTTATAGGAAAATAGGGATGGAGAATGGTTGGTTTATGGATTYATAGGWGAATAWGGATGGGGAATGGCTWGTTYATGGATTTATAGGAAAATAGGGATGGAGAATGGTTTTTTTATGGATTTATAGGAGAGTAAAGATGGGGAACAGTTGGTTTATGAATTAATAGGGGAATAGGGATGGGGAATGGTTGACGGTGATGCTCTTTTAAACTAAAAAGGCCTTTTTTTTGCTGTGCCTTCATGAAGAAGTGGGTAAATCCTGGTTATTTACACAGCAGAGGTTGGGCTCATCTCTGTAACAGCCAGCTCATGCCCTCTGCTTTCCACCTCCTGCCAGGGGCTTGGAAATTCAAGGCTTGGGGATGTGGTTGGGTCTTTCTGCAGCCCCATGGCAAGAACAGCCTGGAAAAAAGATGGGAATTTGGGAACGGGACACYCTCGCTGCTCTTCTGATGGGATTGATGGAAACACAGCTTCATCCCTTGGGGGTGAGGGTCAGCCTTCAAAATTCATCTTAAAACAGCAAATGTGCACAAAAAGCTAAATAGGTCATCATTCCCATGGGTTTGGGAATCAGATCTCTGGCTGAGCTGTTTCTGACCGTTCCAGCCTGAAAATTAAGGCAGAGGTACATCCTGTGGAAATTATCCTGGATGGAAAAAAAGCTCAAAATAAGAGTTTAAGTGATGGTGGGTCAAGTTTGTAGGTAGAGATGCCTTGTAAGTGGGAAAAGGTGTTTATAGAACAAAGAAAGCTGCTAAAGAGAAATTGTAATCATTTTTAAAAATCATTATTTTCTATTAAAAAACTTGTAGATGGTTGTATTTCTTTTTTGTTTCATTCAACTCRGGCCACAACACACCTGCTTTATTGCCTGCAGCTACCAGAGCTGCATTTGGCCATTTTTTAAGGTTTTTTTTTTATTATTCCTACCTTCTTTTTATTTATTTGAAAACATTCCCATCCAGGAGCTCTGAGCTACATGGATTGATGGGCTCCACTTTGCAGAAGGATCATTGTCTAAATCCCCACCCACCTTTTGTGTCCYGAAGCTGCTGGGATTGCCCGGGATGGAACAAAGTGTTGTTGCCAAAAGAAAGCAGTGTCTGCTCTCCCGCAGCTCCGAGGAGAAGCCTGGCCTGGCCAGCAGCCAGGGAAAAATCTTGGAATCGTGGAAAGTAAAAGGAAAGAGRGGAAAGTCCTTTTCCTGCTGCAGGTACCTGCTCTTAGCTCCCAGAACTTGACATAAACCGAGTTTGTGCTCATCACACTCTYGGGATTTGGGTGTTGATTTATGGAGGGGAAACTCTTGTGTTTAATGCATTACCCAGAGACTGTCCTGAAACAATGGGATGGCTGCAATTCCGGAATATCCGGACCACACGGAGCACACCAGAGGAGATTCAGCAATTCCTGGTTTGTGGGCTGTGTTAGGAAGGTTWTTCCTGCCAGGGGGTGGAGGTGTCAGGGGGTGGAAGGGCCACATTAGCATTCGGTGATAGATTTCATTATACCCAATAATGGCATTTATTATTCCTGCAGTAATCCKGCTGTAATTCCTTATAATGGCTCTGTGTGAGGGGGAATCATCRCTGCAGCTGTTTCCTCTTCCCTGGGAACTGGGAACAGCTTTGCCCTTTGAATCCCTGTCACCTCCATGGTCCATCACTCCATTTCACAGCTGAGCACCCGGAGAGCTACGGGTGCTCTGTGAAAACCCAACCTGTGCAGGGTTTGTGTTTGACACCACGGGGGATTAGTTCCAGCTGCAGTTTTGCTGAGATAGCCTGACTTCCACTGTAGCAGGGACAGTGATTCATAAAGCCTCACACAGAAGCCTCTGAGTCACAATTTTGGGATTACGGCTGAGGCAATTGGAGATGTTGCCATCCCCAGCTGGTTTTTCATCCCTGAAAAACCTATGATCACCCTTCCCGTGGCAGAGCAGTTTTGTATCRGGGTTGTTGCTCCAGCTGCATTCCCAGTTTGGCATCGCAAACCCTGGAATTACCTAATCCAAGGGGGCAGTGAACCCTGACAGCTGAGCAGGGCAGCTTTCAACACACAGGAAAGATTCACAAAATCCCAGAATATCCTCAGCTGGAAGGGATCCATAAGAATCATCCAAACCCACCCCTGGCCCTGCCCAGACCCCCCAACAGCCCCACCCTGTTCATCCCTGGCAGCGCTGTCCAAACGCTCCTGCAGCTCTGGCAGCCTCGGGGCCGGGACCATTCCCTGGGGAGCCTGGGCAGTGCCAGCACCCTCTGGGGACAGAAGAACCTTTCCCTGAGATCCATCCCAAGCCCTGACACAGCTCCAGCCRTTCCCTGGGCTCCTGGCCCTGTCCCAGAGCAGAGCTCAGCCCCTGCCCCTCCGCCTCCCCTCGGGAGGAGCTGCAGCCCCCGAGGAGTCTCCCCTCAGTCTCCTCTGCTCCAGCTGAACAAGCCAAGAGCCCTGAGCCGCTCCTCAGACCCTTCCCCAGCTCCGTGTCCCTCCTTTGGACACRCTCCCAASACCTTTAGATGCTTATTTATTTTTTATGTTGCTTTTTTTACAAACAATTGCAAATGAAGGATCTCATCCATCAAGTTCATCCCAAATCTTRTGCAGGTGTCCTCAAACACACCTAGTCCTCCTCATTCCAGCTACCACAKCCTTCCCCTCTCCAACAGCTGCATTTCCAAGGACCAGCACATTTCCACAGCCAGGAGGCTGTGTCAGGGCTCAGCTGTTTAGGGAGCTCCCCAGAGAGCCCCCAGCAGGTCCCCATTGCTCTGTGCTCTTATCCCAAGCAGGTCACAGCAACTGGGCTGCCTGAAACCACCTGGGAAAGGATCTCGTGCAGCCTGGGTTACTCAATAACCAGAGCAGTTAATGGGGAAAGGACAGAAACACCAACACAACATCAGGGATCTAAGCTGAAATCATTTCAGGCTGAGGAAAGCCAATGAGTTGATTTTCCTAGACTTTCCTTTCTTAGCTTGTTTCCTTCTGCTTTTCCCCCTCTTTTCACAAACGAGCTCTCAAACATTAGTTAAAGTCTCCAGCCAGTGATTAATTCAAGCTTTTATGGGTTTTAGTTTTTGAAATAGTTTGGAAGAAGAGTTTGTGGCAGTACAGGAATGGGTTAAAGTCAGATTTAGAGCAAGAAATGGGGGTGGGACAAGTAACTGCYTTCCCTCTTCCCTGTGTTTTCAGGTGTGCAGGTGTTTGTGGTCAGGTAATACACAATCGGTGCTAAATAAACTCAAGCTTTATAAACCTCATAAAATTCAAGCTTCTGAAATCCTGCACGTTGAAACCGTGGTTGYGTTGCCTCATCTATTCCGAGGAGGAAAGATAAACCCTTCTGTCACTGAGGTGATTAAAGGAGGATTAAATAACCCAGCTGCAAAAACTGCTGCTTCTGCCTGGTTTTCTGCTGCTGTTGGAGCTGAGGCTAGRTTCTAGAGGAGCAGCCAAGCTCCAGGGAAGGGGAATGGGACAAAAATCAACAAAAATCCTTGTTGACATGCAGCAGAAAGCCCTGTGTGTTTTGTGCTTTGCTGCATCACGCTGGCAGGGCTCTCCTGGAACGTGGAAATGGATGTTTGTGGCGTTCAGCAGCATCAGGGGAATTCACCCTGCTCCTATTTGCTGACGAGGGAAGAACAACAGAGAGAAAAACATCAGCTCCCTTCCAAAGCATGTGCAGTCTGTGCATAGCATTGCTCATTTAGTACCTCCCCAAAAATGGGAATAAAAATATGAATTAATTTATTTACTGAGCCAGGCTTTTAAACCGAGTGGTTCTGATTGCCTTTTCTCTCTGTTTCCACTGCAGGAAGACCCTGCTTGTTCTTGCAGTTTTGAGAGGTGTTTAGAGATGCAGCCAAGCACCAAAACAGGACAGGAGCTGAGGCAGAGATGTCCATCAGGACATGTTTTCACAGAAATCATTGTCTGTGATGACTTCACCCTGTAATTGAGCTGATTTTAGTCATGGAATAATTTAAATGTTCCTCTTGGTCAGCTCTGTGTGGTGACAAAGGACAGCAAAAGCTTGTGAGGCTTTATCAAAACACTGGGCAGTGTTATTTCTAAACTCATCAGACGTGTATTTTATAATTCTTATTTTTAAAAAAAAAGCTCTTAATTC